TTTATATTCCCACATTCCCTGAGCACCAGCAAGGCAAAGCAGACCCCGATGGGAAGAGCCGAATCCTTTCGTGAACCAAGAGAGTAAAAGGCAAGAAACAGGCCTTGCTATGAACCATGTGAAAACAGGTGGAACCGTCCAATAGTCAACTCTCGGACCACGCACATCGCGGGAAATCTACATATCGCTCAGCTGGAAAACCTGCAGGAACTGGTCAGATATTGTGCAGGTGTGGGGGGAAATGGCGGGCCAGGGGCTGAAAACGGGTTGGGCAAAGAGAAGGCCAAAGGATTGTGGTCCCACGCGCTTTACCCGTGAAGGACAAACAAACACGCCCAAATAACCCAAGTGCCCAATCCTAATCTGTTGCTTGCCAACACGGAGTTGCGCAAAAACAATTTCACAGGAGATTCCTAAAATCCTATGTTCCACAACCACGGCCTTCAATGTTCGTTCTAATCCTTCTTTCCAAAAAAGCCTTCAAACAGCACTGGAACGGCTGGTTTTTGAAAATAATGATGGTTGAACAGAATATTAGTGGGGAATGAACCTCTAGATTTGAACTTGCGTCAACCCACTCCAAAAAGGGCACCATCAGAAAAGCACACACACACACACCCAAATGGCAAATGCATCTCGCTCAGACCTGCCAGCTTTGCCCTTTGTTTGGGTCGGCCGGTCAAAATATGTTTTGCTTGTTGGATTGGACCAAAGTGTTGACGTTAACTCCTAGGACAAAGGGAAACCCCCCGCCAAAGGCGGGGGAGAAGCCCCGCATTTCGACCCCATTTGCGAACCGCCAAGAGTCAGATCTGCACGTTGCCCTCCTGAGCGAGTCCACCGCTTTGGAGATGAATCAAAATCGGGATCCCTTCGGCATGCTTTAAAGAGAAAACAAAAAGACGAGCGGCCTTTTTTGGAGACCATGCCGCTCCTGGGCAGCCTTTGTGCTTTCTGTGCCAGCGTGCAAACGTTGGATCTTGCACGGGCCATGGTACTTGGCTGTGGACAGAGTGCCGGGCAAGGATAAAATATCCGGAATCCCTTGCCCTCCACAAGAAACATACGCCAATGCATCCCGAAAGCGAGTCAAGTAACGAGTCAACAAGTCAGAAAGGCAAAAAGGCAGAACAAAAAGCATGTTTTCCTCAAGTGCAACCATCAAGTGCAACGCCCAAAGAGTGTGCCGTGGTTGCCATGACTAAAATACGAACCTAGTCCTTTCTCCGGGAAAGTTGAATATCTTGAAAAGGCCGTTCAAGCTCTGAGGGCCGATATTCATTTCAAGGTACGCTCCTTCCCACAAACATGGCACGGAAGGGAAATGGTCCCTTCAGGAGGGAATTGATCTTCCACTGGAAGGCGAACGTAGGCGGACAAAACGCTACACACATTATCTCATGATCACGACTTTCTTTGGCCTGAACGTACGCCACAACCCACCTTTTATTAGTTTGGCCACTATTGTGCCCTCAAAATGAACCACCCCCTTCGGATTCTTTGGGCCAGCCATACCCCCTGAACGGCCCCACCGCCTCCCCCCGCCCCCGTCCGGCGGTTCGATCTGTCGGTCCTCGGTGGCGCTGGTTTCACCCCCTCGCGCTTTCCGTAGAGACCGAGGCCGAAGCCTTCCGAAGGCTTCGAAGGGCCAAGCGGATCCGCCCAATTCGCGAAGCGGCCGTGGGCTCCAAACACCCACTCCAAGTCAGGTTGTTTTTTGGTGTGAAGTTTAACCAGTGACCCGGATCTGTTGGGTGTGATGCTTTTTTTGGGTGACCCTTGGTGGATACATCATTTGGTGGGGATTCATGAACCCGCCCACTCTTGAGGTGGCTCATTTCTTGAAATTCACAGCTTGGGTCAACATAGGACGGCCCCACGGCTCCTCAAACTTCTAGGTTCCGATCCGTGTCACTTCACTCCAAACCTAAGCAATCCTTGATACCAAGTTGCAAAAGTTGGCTTCTCAACAGTTTCAAGGGCTCCATGTTGCTGGTAACTCCGCGCAAGCATTGCCTGAAAAGATCCTTGTGGATTGCGAAAGACGGGTGGCCTTCCATACAAAGATTCCGGCTGAGGCTTTTTGACAATCCCTTGAGTCAGAAAAGGCACGGAGTTTGGAGCATGTTCGACTCGAGGAAATGGACCAGCCCGCAACCAAAGCTGCGGAAAAGGTGTGCCCAACGTTGGAGAGCTTGTTACTACGGGCTTCCTTATGCTTGAGGTGCCGCTCAAACAATTGGAAAAACACATGTTGGCCTTTGAAGATGAAAAGATCAAGGGAACGTAGCAAGTCTACCTACGCTTGTTCCAATAATCGTCAACGTGGACAAGGCGGGCTGAAAGAGGATGCCCCTATACATGATTGTTGGAAAGAAGGGAAGCAAATGGTGGAAAGCACTGGGATAGTCTGGCCTCACGATTTAACCATGATCAAAGTCACCCCCTAAGTGGTGGGCTAAGGGAAACAACGCCATTTCTGACTTTGATAACCCCCAGA